GCTGAAGAAAATGTAAACAAGTCTGAGAGTCAAAGTTCAATCCAGTATATCCCACCTGGATTTAGAGACAGCTGGTGGGTTTGAACCACTAACCTTGCAGCCAGCAGTCCACCGCTCTGCCCACAGCTTCACACATCTCGGGGATGACAACACACACTGCAGGGACATCATCCAATCTATAAGAACAGGAACAAGAACAAAACAACAGAAAACTCACTGCCATCTGGGTGAATTCCAACCCATAGCGACCCCACAGGGCAGGGCGATTTTCTGAGACTGTAACTCTTTACTGCAGTAGAAAGCCTCGTCTTTCTCCCCAGGTGAGGCTCGTGGTTTGGAAGTGCTCACCATGTGGTTAGCAGCCGAGATAAAGTCACCAGGCCACCAGGCCTCCTAGTCCATCACAAGGGGGGATTAGCACGTGGCCTGCTGAATCCTGGTATCCTCTCTGGCTGAGCGACTTCAGAGGAATGGAAGCTCCTCCCACCCAGGGGCATGTGGGAGGGGAAGGAGGGTGCCCTGGATGAGCACTGGACACCAGGCTTGCCTGCTGAGAGCGTTCACCTGCCCCAAGCAGCACACTCAGCCCTTCGACTGTTCCCAGCCTCTGGAGCACAGAATGGGTGTGGGGAAGGCTTTGCTCTTTCTTAAAAAGCTGGGGGAAGACAGTACCAGGACTCCAGCTCCAGGGCTCCTCCAGGAATTTCCTCTTCGGTGCAGATGACCTGGTGTAGGGGAAAGTGCAGGTCGATAAAACCAAACCCACAGTCACCGAGTGGACTCTGGCTCCTAGCAACCCGGTGCAGGGTTTCGGAGCTCGGACGTCTCTACAAGGGCAGGCAGCCTCATCTTTGTCCTGCAGAGCAGCTGGTGGGTTTGAACCTCCAACCTGGTGGTCCGCCACCCAGGGCCTCACCCCATGCCAGCCCAATGTTTTACGACTGGATAAGAGATCTTTTTATTTCTCAAGAATGGAGAAGACATTCAGCTTGCTGAATGCAAGGGCTTACATTTTTATTTATTT